TGTCTGGCTCAAACGAGATTGTACCGGACATTTGCCGAAGTTGTACCAGTCAATGTCCGTGTCCGCTTACTTCATGCATTGAATGTTTTCCATTTGAACAACGTTTCACAGACAAAATCAATGTTGTAAGCTTATAGGTGCTAGAGGAACATTATTGCATTGCTAAAAATACAGTTTTTCACATTTCACCAATTTCAATTTCATTTTTGAAGACAAAATGTATGTTTTAACATAAAAATACTTTTTACTTAATTCAGAAAATAGTTGAAATAATAACTTACATACTGTTATCTTCATTAAAAAAGAACTTTATATCATTAGTAAATACTTACCTGAAAAACAAAATTATTCAATAAGGCATTAATATATGAAAAAAATAGCTAGAGCTATGATAGTACAGAATTAGCTAATTTGCTGATAAGGCCTGTGGCTTTTCAAAATGACTTATTTTATACAGGATATTTTTTTCCAACCTGTAAATGTATCAGATGATAATTTTCAAATGTTAGTCTTATTAGAAGCTCCCTAATTTCACTTAAATTATTCAACTGTATGCGATAAGTCTTAGTATGCAAGGGAATGCAGTTCCCAAAATTGATGTTTTGGGAAGTCACACTAGTACAAGTACTAGTATATAGAAAAACAGACTTCATGACAGTTTCTAACTTGTGGCTATTTACGTATTAAATACGTAAGTGAGAAATGAAATAGCATAAAAATGGAAATGGACAGTAGTGGGCGTATTTATCAACAGATTTTGCCTTGGCTTCCTTTATTATAATTCTCAGTACAAAGGACATACTAGAGCAGTTGAAAATTTTCGATTTTGACAATTTCGTTCGATACTTTTTTTTGACAAAATAGATAAAAAAATACTATTTTGGTTGCCATTTGACGGATGGATTTGAAATTTATATGGCGTAAACTGTAGAGGAAAATAATTCTGCTTCTTAATGCAATTTAGAGCTATTTATTGTCCGATTTGCACTGTTTTGGTATTTAAGGATAGAATAGTCATTTATCTAAAACCTTGAACAGAGTCGAATTTCGATTATGCTTTTTTTGTATGACATGTAGTTTAAAGCAGCCTTCTCCCCAATGTCATGCTGTAAGTTGAACTTACTTGAGCACCTTGGAACAACACAGGGCTTAATTGACCCACTTTCTTATTTCTTTAAAGTTCCACGTTGTATGAAATTTAGTGTACATTCATTTGTTCTTTCAGCAATAGATCTTAATTATAAATTAGTCAAAATTTACTTTTAACCTTGTTAATGAATTGGAAAGCAGCCTTATTACAAGTATATCTATTCAAAATCAATTCAGGACTAATCTTCCCCAAATGATCGTAAGGGTATTTTGTTTGAGAATAATTTTTGAAAATAAATTCCTGCATTTTATGCAATTTGTCTTCTAATATTACTACCTTTTTTCAAGTAACTACATTGGTTTATTTAGAGGGTAGTGCCCTCTAAAAGCCAAAAAGGGGGCAAAGGTGCCCCTCACCCTCGTCAATGAAATCTTGGCTACGCCACTGAGTAAGTAATGCATATTTCCACAAAAATTGTAATGTTGGGTCCTATCGGTGTTAGGGTGATTTGAGAATAAAAACTCCATAAAAGTGCAGGCCTAGGTAATGAAGTTAGAATTTTATATTCATCTCGGTGCTGTTAAACGCGTTCATCCCTGTACATTTTTCATGGTCGCCCCGAGTTCATTCGCCCTGGGTCCGTTCGATCCACAAAATATTTTGACACAATAATCCATGTTATATTGTCGAAGTTGGTCACTTATGAATTAAAAAAGCTATCGTGTGACTTAAAAAATAATGACTTGTTAGTCTTTCATTCAAACCTTTTCCAATTTGTCATCCAGAAAATTGCCTTCACTAACACATGTTGTTTCTCCAAACGACATATTCCTTAAAGTGTCCAGAATTAACATGAACTTCTAAACAAAGAAATAAATTATGTAAAAACCGCTAAAATTCCTAAAAATTCTCAAGAAAGTGGAAACATGGCCCTCTCAATTGCAGTATTGAACAATTTTATTGCACCCAGGACAAATATTTTTTGTTAAAGGGACAGTTACGCCAATTTTTTAACCAATCATACTTAAGTCTCAGAAACAGGATTTTTTTGGCTAAGCCAATCAATAATACTGTTCACAGCTCACCGTCAAAATTTGAGCCTTCAAACTCACGTGTGTCCAGAATAATCAGTGTTTGAAACTAGTATATAGAAGAGATCAGTAATAATACAGATATGGACAGTGTTTGACTGTAGTTTGTGATAGAGGTCAGTAATGATACAGATATTGACAGTGTTTGACTATAGTATGTAGTACAGGTCAGAAATGATACAGATATTGATACTGTTTGACTGTAGTTTGTAGTAGAGGTCAGTAATGACACATATATTGATACTGTTTGACTTTAGTATGTAGTAGAGATCATAAATGATACAGATATTGATACTGTTTGACTCTAGTATGTAGTAGAGGTCAGTAATGATACAGATATTAATACTGTTTGACTATAGTATGTAGTAGAGATCAGAAATGATACAGATATTGATAGTGTTTGACTGTAGAATGTAGTAGAGGTCAGTAATGATACAGATATTGATACTGTTTGACTGCAGTATGCAGTAGAGATTAGAAATGATACAGATATTGATACTGTTTGACTGTAGTATGTAGTAGAGATCAGAAATGATACAGATATTGATAGTATTTGACTGTAGTATGTAGTAGAGATCAGAAATGATACAGATATTGATAGTGTGTGACTGTACTATGTAGTCGAGGTCAGTAATGATACAGATATTCATAATGTTTGACTGTAGTATGTAGTAGAGATCAGAGATTGTATATAGATGTTGATAGTGTTTTACTGTAGTATGTAGTAGAGGTTAATAATGATACAGATATTGATAGTGTTTGACTGTAGTATGTAGTAGAGGTAAGTAATGATACAGATATAGACTAATACTACAGTCAAACACTATCAATATAATACGTATTATTACTTATCTCTACTACATACTACTTTTATACGCTATATATATGTCACATTACTGACCTAGACTACATACTACAATCAGGCACTATCAATATCTGTATCATTACTGACCTAGACTACATACTACAATCAGGCATATCAATATATGTATTTTTTCTTACGTCTGGAAACAAACAATTCAGTTAGCTCAAAAGAGTGAGTCAATCGAGTCTAAGATTAAATTTCGAAAAACATTTGAAATTTCCCATTTTTTTCAATAGGGTTCATCCTTGGGGGTTGTTAAACATTTGGCAGAACCGAACCCATCATCAGTTTATTATACTCAACCCTTAGCAATACACTACACTACAATACAATACAGCGTTTTTTTTGGTTTTGTATACGGCTCTTCTCTAAGTGAAACAGAAAAGTAGGACGTTAAACTTCATGAAAATTAATAATTCCATCCAAATCTGCCACGAACTGTAAGAGTTTGTTAAAGCTTGAAATAGAACGCTTTTCAAAAAACGAGGAAAATAACTAATTACATATTTTTCAACACTTTTAATGAGGTTTCTAAATGATTATTATGAAGTTTTATCTAAATATATCTAAATATATCAATAATTGTGCCTTTTACATTTACTAGCTATAAAGAACAAGTTATATTGTGAAAGGGGTTCATCGTTCGGTGATAATAACAGTTTCACCAAGTTTCGATCAAATCGTTAAGAATTGTGCCTTCTCGAGTATTTACAAGCTACAGACTAAACGCATTTCGAATAAGCAAATAGATGCTCAGTAGGAAGACCTTGTTGTTTTCCTTGCACCAATAGTCCAAATATAGGAACAGTGTCGACAAATCCTACGCATATAATCCGCCGCATTGAGTCTATTTCTAGCTTTAGTTTTGATGACTAAAGTGTCGAGGTTCGCTTGGGTTCGTCGTGTTGAAGGGCCCCAGAAATCCTGAGACTTTATAATTCTTCCCCTACAATAGTTAGTCGCACCTTACACCTCAGGGGATGAGAAGAAACCCACGCCGGGAAACAGGAATATGCAGTATCATAGCTTGGAATTTAAAAATCAATAAAAGTCTGTCAAAAGTACAGGTTTAAAATGTATATATAAACAAATTTCTGACACATTCCTTGTGGTTCACATCATATAGTAATGTTTTGGACTGTGAAATTTAGCGTTCAAAATGCCCCAAAACCACAGTCGACGATATTAAATATGGCGGATATTTTCCTTCGCTAGGTATATTAAAATGCTTATTTTAGTGTGCTAACAATGTGAAATGTGCAAAAAATTTTTGAAACCTAAAAAGTGTAATTTTTTGAAATATTAAAAAAAAATTGGATGAAATCCACTAAATAAAAAAAAAGTGGTAAAAATTAAATACCACGTTTTTCTCCATAGACTCACGTGGTGACATTGGCCTAATTTAACAAGTTACCACGCCGTGGTATATAGCTGTAAGGGTACTTATGACTATTTACCACGCTTACCACGCCAGTGGTAAATAGCCACTGCCATACTTACACATTTGATTTGCGATTTGCAGGAAAATATCGCAAATTTTGCAAGCTTTGCGCATGCACAGTACCAAGTTTCTTATTTAAATTTCTATCCACCTTCGTATGCACCTTTTTGTTGTAAGACTGTTACTGTTAAGGGAACAGTTCCAGTTTGTTATCGAAATGTCAATTCTTTTTTGCTTTGTTTTCATATTGATTTTGCCCTGCTTTGTTATCATACTTTCAAAATATATAATTGTTTGTCGTTTGAGGTACGAATTAGACAGAAATTAATTTCCCATGAAGGGAGATAACTATTGTTAATTGTGAGTGAAGTATGAGTAATATTGAGTATTATTAATTAGAAGTTACTAAGGACAGTAAAGTGTTTGTTTGGTCATTCAGCGAAGTGACCAAGCGGCTGGTAGCACACAGAGTTTATTTGCTCTGATATTTTTGTTGACTGGCGATTTTGAATCATGGATGGGGCGCCCGATTCAGATATCAAGGATACATTGATGCAGTTGACTTGGAAATATGAAGGTAATAAGATTCAATACAATTTTAATTCTGAATTGGATGAAAATTTGAGGCAGATTAGTTGGGCTATAGAAAACAAGAAATTTGATTATGTAGAAGAATTGATGAAGGTTTCACAGGAAAAATTGCATACTCGTAATAAGCATATACGTATAGCAGATTCTTCGGAAGGTGGTTGGGACACCGTCAAGCAGTATGAGGCAAATCCATTGGCTAGTGATTCAGAGGATGAATCACGGATTCTTAAGGCAGAGGGCAGGGCTTTGCGGAAGAGGAAGAACAAAAAGGGGAATACTGGTAAATCTAAAGTATCTAATTTTTCTTTACCTGGACCGAGTTCATCTTTTAACCAAGGTCAACAGTTCACCCAAGGTCAATTTGGATTTGGAAAAATGAATTCCTTTCGTGCCTACAATGGGCAAGGTACAGGAAGCAGTTCCGGTAATGGAGTCGTCGGAGGATGTTGTTTTGCATGCGGGCAAAGTGGACATTTCAGGAGAGAGTGCCCAAATATTTATCATGGTACAGCAAGTGGTGGAGCCAATCAGAAATAAAGGAGTGCCATTAAATTTAGAGAAAAACGTTCAAGATGAGTATTTCACTAATTTTCAAGATCTTTTTACAAATGATTATTATGAATATGAACAGGGTCAAAAGCAAATATTAGTTAAAGGTCGATTAAAACGGAACATTGAGTTTTGGCGGCAAATTGGTGCTAATAGTTTTATATTAGATATTATAGAATGTGGCTATAAAATTTTGTTCTTTTCATCTCCTGTGAATACTTTTTCAAAAAATAATTTATCTGCTTTAAAGGAAAGTGAGTTTGTTAGTAATGCTATCAATGATTTATTAGTAAGGGGTTTGATTGAGAAGTGTGAGCAAGCACCATTTGTTGTGAATCCTCTGACAGTTTCTGTTCAGAGTAATGGCAAGAAAAGGTTGATTTTAGATTTAAGAATTGTAAATAAGCATGTTTGGAAACAATCTATTAAATACGAAGATATTAGATTAGTTTTAGATTATATTAAGAAAGGTTGTTTTATGTTTAAATTTGATATTCATTCAGCTTATCACTCTATAGATATATATCAACCACATACAGAGTATTTAGGTTTTGCATGGGAATTGAGTAAGGGTTTTTTTTTCGTACTTTAAATTTTTGGTACTTCCGTTCGGATTAACTTCAGCACCTTACGCTTTTACAAAACTGACAAAACCTTTAGTAGCTAAATGGAGGTCTGAATCAAAGTTAAATCTGATGTTTTTGGATGATGGCTTTGGGTGTGCACATGATTACATCGACACATTAAAAATGTCGAAAGACATTAAGGAAGATTTATTGTTGTCCGGGTTCGTACCTAAAGTGGATAAATCTTGTTGGGAACCACAACAGAGGTTAGTTTATTTGGGCGTTGTGTTGGATTCTGGGGAGGGTAGTATATCGATACGCGATACAAGGATTGAGAAGGCTAAAAATCTGATTCTTGATATTCAAGAATGTTATAAGCTTAGTCAAAGGGTTCATGTTAAGAAATTAGCAAGTTTTATTGGTCAGATAATTTCTATGAGCATAGTGATAGGGAATATGTCACAAATAATGACGCGATATTTGAGTATGGATGTGGTATCTGCTCATACTTGGAACACTTTTATCAAACTATCAGATGATAGTTTAGGACAATTAAAGTTTTGGAAGAGTAATTTAAATGATATTAATAAGCGCTTGTTATGTAATAAGGTTTATGTGTCTAAGATAGTTTATAGTGATGCCAGTAATAGTGGATATGGGGGTTATGAAGTAGAAACGGCGAGTGGGGTGGCGCATGGTATGTGGGATTAGAATGGATTCCCAGAACTTTGAATGAGAAAGCTGATTATCTGTCTAGAATAGTAGATTTTGACGATTGGGGAATATCGTTTGATATTTTGAATATGATTCAGAATAGAATGGAGTAAAAGTTTAGGTTTGTTTGTACCACCAATATGTTTGGTATCTAGAGTATTGTTGCAAATGAGACAACAGAGTGCAAAGGGCATCTTAGTTATTCCTGCGTGGAAATGTGCTAAATTTTGGCCTTTTATTGTTAATAAAGATTCGGAATTTAATGTAAACATTATTGATTGGTTGAAGTTGCCAATAGAAAAAGAATATTATATTTCTTGTAGAAATGGAAGTGGAATGTTTGGAAATGAGGATCTTAGGTTCAAAATGTTAGCTTTATACATGAATTTTTCGGTGATTTGATTTGCATTATGTTTTTAATGTTTAGGGCGGGGGTGGTAGGAGTGGTAGTATTGTTAGGGGGCGTAAACAATTGTTTATTTATTATACGGCGTAGCTGCCATTAGAATTGCTGAGATGATTGGATCATCTACAGGCTGACAAGTCTTTATAATATGTGTAGTTGTTGATAATATTAATAATTGTATTTGCTAAAGTTGGGTGTATAATTTAGTGTGTGTAATCACATTTGTTTTTTCAGTGTTATGCTAATGATATTGATGATTTACCAGAAGTGTTAGCTGATAAAGTCCCTTTATTACCTTCCTTATTAATGAATTGTAGGGCTTCTGGGATGTGTTCTACGTATACTCATGGTTTTAATAGATGGAAACGTTGGGCATTGCATAATGATTTGAACGAAAGCGACACTTTACCCGCAAAAGCTTTTCATGTTGCTATTTATTTAGCGTCGCTCATACAGACAGCCAATACTCCTAGTCCAATTTTTACTGCATTTTATAGTTTGAAATGGGTGCATGAGCTGTTTGATTTTCGTTCTCCTATTGAGTCTCATATTGTTCAGAATATTTTAGAAGCCGCGAAAAGGCGTTTAGCTAAACCTGTAATTAAAAAGAGCCAATTACTGTTAAAATGTTATCAGATATGTTTTCTACGTTGTATGTTCCTAGTAATGTTAAAAATCAAAGAATCATATCTCTATGTTTGTTAGCTTATGCTGGTTTTTTAAGAAGTAGTGAATTATTAAATATCAAACGTTCTGATATTGTTTTTTCTGAAACACATTTGTCTTTGTTTTTTGAAAATAGTAAAACTGATAAGTATAGAGATGGTGCATGGATAGTAATAGCTAAAACTGGTACTAATCTCTGTCCTGTAGTTAATTTACAGCGGTATTTTGATCGGGCGGGTAAAGATGAATTTAGTGATGTGTATATATGTTCTGCTTTGAGTGCTTTTAAAGATTGTTATAAAGTTAAGAACAATAATAAGCCTATTTCTTATACTACTTTAAGGGAATTATTTATAAATGCATTTAAGTCGCATGTTGTAGATATAAATAAATATTGTTTACATTCGTTGAGATCCGGTGGAGCTACTGCAGCTGCGGGAAATGGTAAATCAGATTGGTTATTTAAACGACACGGGCGTTGGGTCAGCGAATTAGCAAAAGATGGATATGTTAAAGATGATTTGAACGAGAGATTGAAAGTTTCTCAGAGCTTAGGTCTCTAATTTGTCCCAGACTTTGGGTTCAGCGATACCATTTACGCTTATATCAATAAATATAATATTTGTATAGTATTTCGTATTCATTTTGTATGATATGGGGAATATGAGAAAGGGTGGGGGCTATTTTGCAAGAGTTGTCGATATGTCATGGGAAATATAATTGTTTGTCGTTTGAGGTACGAATTAGACAGAAATTAATTTCCCATGAAGGGAGATAACTATTGTTAATTGTGAGTGAAGTATGAGTAATATTGAGTATTATTAAGTTACTAAGGACAGTAAAGTGTTTGTTTGGTCATTCAGCGAAGTGACCAAGCGGCTGGTAGCACACAGAGTTTATTTTATTTTTTCATAATTCATCTGAAATTTGTATTAAGTTGTATATTTGGTTGCAAAGAAATAATCGTTTTGTTTATATAGTTTTACATAATTTGATGATATTATTATTTGAGTTTGTGTTCTAAATTTTCTGATTATTAATTGCATTGATTTTGATGTAAATTTTTATTGAGATTAGGAAAGTAATGTTACGTACGTCCAACGTTTCGCTTTGGAGAGTCTCTTCGCATTGGACACAGGTTTCTGTTTCAGTTTTTCCTGGGTGGTGAGTTAACCTAATTTTAGTGGATTTTTTATGTAGTGTAATAATTATATAATTATTGTAATGTTGTATTATGTATGAATGTTGAGGTTGGTGGTGGGGTTTAAGGATGAATGGCGGTTTTGCATCAGCGATATCATTTATGAAATGCATTAGATCTACATATTTGGTTTTTTAACTATTGAATATAAATTGGAACATTTTTGCAAAACCGAGACATTGCAAAATGTGGAAAAAGTAGATAATTGACTTTAGTAGGCGCAATTAAAGAAAATGTTGTAATTATTTGAAAACTTTGAACGCTTCTATCTCAAGAGTTACACCTTGGATGATGTTGATATTTATAGTAATAATTAATATTGACTACAACTTTTACTTGATGTTTATATTGGTTCTGGTTTTATGGGTGTCACTAAAAGTTGAGTTTCCATTTATAAAGTATTAGTATTTATAAAGTAATAGGTGACCTAATAGAGATTTTTTTTCAGATTCCATTCAATATTTGTGTAATATGTTTTATGTCAAGTTATGATGAATAAACATGCTCTAGGATGGATTAAACTGTGTTATACTGTAAGTTGTAAGCACCTTAAAGGTATACCTCCACATAATTTCACAGTTTTCTTATATCTAATCAGAATTTCATCAAACTTTGTATGTATTTAAATTGACAAATGCACTTCCTCTTAACTGCACACCTTTGTATGTACCTGTTTGTCGTAAAATGCCCTGCATCATTACTGTTAAGGGAACAGTTCTAGCTGTAGGACTTTTTTGTGAAATTTACACACCTTCCTGTGCTTAGATTGCAGTAGTTCCAGCAACCATTCCACTTTCCTAGACCTTCTGTAATAGCAAGGTGTTGTATAAATTTAAATTTTGCAAAACTGGAAGTAGCTCAATTCAATATGTGCAAAAGTAAAGATAGTGGACCACAGCCATATACGACCACCACGGCATGCGGATGGTAAAAATGTTGACAGATGGACGGATGGACAGGGGTGCCGACAATATATGTCCAACTTTACGGTATACCGCCCAACCCTAGTCGTCGCCCCTGTCCACAATTGGCTTGTGAACGCAATAGAGACAACAGTTTTTATCTGTCTTGAATGAAATTTGGTGTTATCATTTATATTAATGAGATCTTGGTCAAGTTTGAATTTGACAATCTTTTGAGTTATTGTCCTTGACTTAGGAAAAACGCGTCAAAATTTGTTTGTGAACACAATAGAGACTACAGTTTTCAACTGATTTTAATAAAATTTGATGTGATCATTTATATTGATGAGATCCTGGTCAAGATCAAATCTGATGATCTTTCGATGAGTGTTTTTGAGTTGTTGCTTTTGATTTATGATTTTGTTTTGGAACAAATTAAAGAGAACAGTTTTCATCCGATTTAAATGAAATTTGATATGATCAATTATAATGATAAGATCTTAGACAAGTTCGAATTTGACATCTTTTGATGA